GGGGGGGGGGGGTGGGAGGAGGGACGCTGGTTCGGCTGTTTGGAGGTGGAAGGGTTGGAAGCGGAGCGGCCCAAGCGGCCCACGGGGGCTGTACTGGCAGATCAGTAGTTCAGGCCTGGACTGCCTGAGCCGTAAGCCAGGAAAAAATTCGCGCTGCCAGCCGCGGCTGCTGCAATGCACGGCGTGGTGCGCCCGTGTGTACGGCCGCCCCGCCTGCACGGGTGCCCAGCGGCTGCGATCGCCGCCCAATTGACGGACGCTGTCTTGCTGGCCGACACAGAATGATGCAGGAATGCCTTCAGAAAATCCAGATACTGTCAAATCAGCTCCCACTTGCACGGCTGTCGATGCTACACGCACGGACAAAGGCCGCATAACCTTGACCGCCGTTGACCGGGCAAACCCACCTTCAGGCCCAGCTGCATCTCCAGGGCGCGCAGCTCCCGTACCACGCTGGCCGCGCCCTCAGATAGCACCCCTGAGCTCGACACGGACACACTCCCCCCACCACCGCCGCCCCTGCCGCCACCGCCGGGCGCGGCCGCCGCGGTGGCGGGCGGCGGGGCGCGGGGGGGCTGGCGAGCATCGGCGGCGGCGGCGATGGCGGCGAGCCCGGCGGTCGCGGCCTCAGTATCAATAGAGGACCCGACCGACCCCAGCCGGCCGCCACCCGCGTCCGCACGCCCCGCCACCGCCGCAGGCCGCGGCAGCAGCGGCGCCGAGCTCGCCAAAGAAGATCCGACACCGCCGCCGCCGCCGCCGCCGCCGCCGCCGCCGCGGCGCACGTTGAAGCCGCCGGGGCGGCGCGCGAGGGAGGCGCGCATGTCATCCGGCAGCAGCCGCAGGACCTCCTCAGCCTGCCGCATGATCTCCGACAGGCTGGCCGCGCTCTCGTCAACGCCCGGCCCCGCCTGCCGCGGCGCCCGCTTCTCATCACTCTCAGCCGCGGGGCTGTCAAGCGGGGCCCGGCTCGTTTCCGACGCGCCGACCGCCTCTGCCACCACTTGCGAGTCCAGCCCGGCCACCGCCTCCCTTGCGCGCCGCACGATCTCCGACAGAGATGCCCCGCCGTCGCTGCCCGCGCGGCTGCCGGCCGGCGTCGGATCTTCCTCCCGTGCCTCCTGAACTGCCGCCGCCGCCGCCGCCGCCGCCGCCGCCGCCGCCGCGTCCTCGCGCGCCCCTGCGGCAGCCGCCTCTGCCACGCGCGCCGCCGCCAGCTCGTCCACGGCTCGCCGCCCCTCCCCCGCGCCGCTGGCAGCCATGTGGACGACTTCAGGGATCTCAGTCATGAGATCTTCCACCACCGAGTCCGGCCCGAGATCTTCCCAGCCACAGCTGCCTCCACCCGTCCCAGAGGCCGTCGCCGTCGACGCCGCCACGCCGCCGCCGCGCGCCACCCACCTCTGCTGCAGCTGCCGCAGCTGCCGCTCCCGCTCACGCAGCGCCGCCGCGCGGCGCCGCTCCTCCTCCGCGCGCAGCTGCGAGACGAGCCGCAGCGCGCCTTCCGCCGCCGCTGCCGCCGCGGCGTCTCCGCCTGCTCCGCCGCCGCCGCCGTGTGCGAGGCCGGCAGCTCCAGTGATCGGCGCCGACGCTCCAAGGGACGCGGGCGCGCCGGCGCCGGCGTCGGCGCCCCAAGGGGCGCCGTCCCCGAAGCCGTCCCCATCCCCGGCCCCCACCTCTTCCAGAAATGAGGGCGCCACCGCCCGCCCGGGCGCGCCGGCGCCGGGCAGGAACTCCCGCTCGAACGCACGCTCCGCCGCGGCCTCGGCGTTCTGCCGCCGCCACTTGCGCAGCAGCGGCGCCGCGCCCGCGCCCGCCGCCCCGCCGCCGCCGCCGCCGCCGCCCTTCGCCCGCTGCTGCAGCGCGCCGCGCTCGACTTCCTGCAGTGCAGCTTCCATGCGGCGCCGGTTGTCCTCGGCGCGCTGCAGCAGCGCCGCGCCTGCGCCGCGGTCCGCGGCGGCGCGGGCGGCGAGCTCGGCGCGTCGGCGGCGCTCCGCAACGGCCTCTCGCAGCCTGCGGCGGGGAAGCGGACAGGGGCAAGGTCTCGCACACAGGCAGCTGCACGCGCCAGAAGCTGCACGTTTGCAGTGCCGCGAGCCCGGCTGCGTGGCCCTTGCGTGCTCCTCAACGGCCCATCTCATTATGTTTGGTGCACCCAGGTGCTGCAGGCTTCGATTGTAATTGGCCATCTGCCAACGGGCCAACATCGCCCCTCCAAACCAGCGCACCCCCCCTCCCGAAACACACACCTGCCCTCCTCCTCCACCGCCGCAGCCGCCGCGCCGCCGCCGCCGCCGCCGCCGTCGGCGCCACTGCTGCCTTGCTGCGCCGCGCCCTGCTGCCTGTGGCTGATCGCGAGGTGCGCCACCCCCAGCTCGTGCAGGCGGCTGTACCTGTTTGTGGATGATGTCATCACATGACTCATCAGCTGATATGCGAATATCCAATCACCTCTACATGCACATCCGATAGCAAGGCTGTATGTGCCACACGTGACGCGGCGGGTCCAATCGATGCCCCCGCATGCTATCTGCGGCGTCGACTCCTGGCATCCGCCCCCAAAGACTGCTGCTTCATGTCAAGCCTGCCTGTTTTCAAGCGCCGAGGCCGCACCTAAAGTCGATCTGGCTGTGCATGTTGTGGCGCCGCCGCTGCTCCTCTGAGAGGTCAACCTCAGCC